TWWYMAAAAWWWTTTTWAAMYYYTKGGKWARKTTWAAAAAAATAACTTTATTTAAGCCTTTAAAAATGTTTTGGAATGAAATTTAGGCAAAGAAATCTGCATATTAGAGTTCATTTTACAAAAAAGAAAAAAAAAAGAAAAGAAAACTAAAACTAAAAACATTATCAAACAAAACCCTTAATTTTTCATTTTTTAACAATAATTTTCCAAGTTAATAACAAAGGCAAGTTAGATCCAAATTCCATCTAGAAAATAACAAAAAAGGCATTAGAAAATGCCAAAATTTTGGAAAAGAGAGAGATCACAAAATGAGGACAAAATTGACAAYGATATAACATGGGAGCTTCTTCAAAGTGTGAAGTTAATAAATTATGTGTTGTGGCTATCATAGATTGAGATCGATGTTAAAAATATATATACATATTCTTACCCGCGTATTAAATTTTCATCAACGCATCGATATATTGATACTTCTATATGTCTATAGACTTGATATCAATATGAAAGGTGAATCGATATTTCTAGTATATCGTAAAAAAAATCGATGAAGCATTAGAAAAATATCAACAAAATATCATTAATACACACAAATATTAATAATACGAATTTTAAACATAAAAAGGTAAAATGCTTATTTGTTAATTGAAGTATTTTTTATAATTTTTCTAAAAATATTCATCTACAATATCTCATTGATATTTCTATCAACATTTCCATAAAATTGAAATCTCGACATTTCCATTAACACCAACATTTAAAACCTTGATTCTTACCCACAAAATTGAGTAAACTAACTACACTTTATACCCAAAAAAAAAAAAAGTTACTAACCATGTCCTAGGTGATTATTTATATACTCACATGGTCATATAGTTAGTTTATCATGAAACACAACTTTTTAAAAATTAATGTGACATTTAACTAAATGTGCAATAGTTATTGTAAATAATGTGACATGAGTGTCTTCACTGGAGGAGATCGAACTCACAATTTCTTGGCCAGAGATATATRCCAGTTACTGCTGAACTATATTTGTTTTGACTTCTGTTCATTAAATTTGTTGAGATGTAGCTATAAATTTATATTAAAAAATTTCTATACGTATAAAATTCGTGTTAAAATTTGACAAATAGGGGTGACAAAATTGATAACTTTATAAAAGTACATGGRCCAAAACAKATATTTTGGATTAAAATAAACAAAATCTGAACGTGGAGAGACTCAAATGAAGGTTGCCAAAGTTCAGAAACTGGATTGAACCAAAGTCAAAATGATGTAGGAAAAAATAGTATTTAAACCTAATAATAATAACAATATTAATAATAATTAAAAGTAGCCTAACTATTACTCTATTTTTCTTTTTCTCATCTCTTTTCCAAACTATACCGATATATTTTGTCTAGCTATTCTCTTCTTTCCACTATTTATTTACTATATTACACCAAATCAGTTGTAATTTGATGTTGATATGAGAATCTTGAATCTACGTAGAATTCATAATCCAAGATTTTTGAGACATAATTAAAACATTTTAATATTCAAAATCCTACATGACTTCTTTTTTTAACTTATATAGTAAATAATAAAATTTTGACGGAATAATTACTCTATATTAATTTCAAAAAAAGAAAAAAAAAAGAAAAAGAATGTTGTACCTTTATGTGCACGACATYTGCATATATTACTTTTTCCTTTTTTTTCCTCTCTCTCATATTTCCTTTTCACGTAATTGTGATTGGTGCCCACACCATTCTACTCTAATCTTCTAACTTTAAAGACAAAAAGAGTTAAATTATAAATTTGATCGGAGCTTAATTTCAATTTAGTTTCTACAATCGTAATTTATAAATGTTTCGATTAGTCTAATTTGAGGTTTTAGTCTCATCAATTTGTCTCTTCTAGTTTTTAAAGTTTCGATTTAATTCTTATGATTTGGTTAAACCTCATTGATCATTTATAAATTTATCCTTTACCTTCTCGAAAATCTACAAATTTTTCCTATCTTCTATTCAACATTGAACCTTAATACACTCAAGTAAAAAAAAAAAAAATCAGCTTCATTGCCATGTAAATAAATAAGAAAAACATGTCAAGTATTAAAATTATAATTAAAAAAACGATAAATTAATACACTTTCTCAATCAACAACAACTTTCCATCACAATTTAAAACTAAAATAATAATAATAAAATTTTTAAATGAACAAAAATATTGTATAATTTTTTTAGTACAAAAATATCGTATAATTAAAGCAGGTAAAAGATTTATAAATTGAAGATTCACATCATAGTTAATAATTGACTTAATTTTATGTAGTACAATAAATGATTTAATTAATACCATATTTGAAGCAATTAATATCTAATATCATAAATGATACGAGGAAGAGCAAAACAGGCACGATAAAAACAAAAAAAAATAAATAAATAAAGTATATCAATTCACTATTTGTATAGCCTTGAGTTAGCTCAAGTGGTTAAGACACCTATCTTTGACCAAAAGATCATGAGTTCAAACCCCCATCCCCACAAAGTTGTACTAAAAAAAAAAAAATAAATAAAAAAAAAGAGGCAGCCAAACAGGTAAAAGTGYGTACTCTGGAAAAAAAATTTGGACCATTTCTCTGTATCGTTCCAATTTTATCGGATGTCCCCGAAGGGACAAACACATGCTTTCTCTATGGTGTATGTAAAGGCTATCTTGTTGTTGTTCCTCAGCGATGTGGGATCTCTCTTCAAAACCGGACATGCGAGTAGAGTACTAAATAAAGGCAGTCCCAAGCCCACATGGAAATTTAGCAATAAATATGATTAGAAAACTGCTCAATTATACCCTCCTCCATGGACTCTTCCCCCAAATCAAAGCATCCACCAAATCCAATATATGTATCCTTCCGATCCTACGATTCAAAAACAGAGCAAACAGGGTTTGAAGCTTTCTTACAGCTAACTTGATTTTGGTACAACTTAACTGTGCAAGCAATGAACTTAATGAATTCAGTGAAGGATGGAATCTGTTCGAACCAGTAAACTGAGTCGACTTTCCAATCATTAAGAACAGAATGTACCATTCACTTGTGTACCATTGCCAAGAACATGCCCCAAATTCTAATTACTCAGCAGCCCACCTAAGCCTAATTTCATTTCAAATCAAGTACAGCTTTAGAAGGAAATAAGGAAACCTCATTGTTGGGGACTTATAATGAATAGTTTATCATGCTGTAAGCTCCTTCGATTAGGAGCTTCTGCTTTTCTCCATTTTGGTAATTTTTCTTTTAATAGTTCAAATGAAAAGCTTTTCCTTTCCAAATATATGAATATAAACACACAATTTATAGTAGGTTCTCCAAAACAAAACTTTTAATTTTATAGCAGTGAGTGCCTCATGTGAACAAGAATAATGTTACAGGACAGCCCATAACATTTGACTTGAGAAGGTCATTATACATTTTACTTTTTAGATAAGTGGCCACCGTAATTTGTACTTGTGACTTCAAAGACGTCTAAATTTATAATTTACCCGGTTTTTMTCTCAAATGGGGAAGAGACAGTTTTGTGAAAACAGTAAACAAGACTCCACCTGCTCTAATAACTTGTAGAAAAACAAGAAAGGAACCAAACAAACTAAGAAACTGAAGGATCTAAAAGATTTATCTGGAACTCACTTTTCCTTCAAAGCTCTGTTTCAGTCTCAAGTTATCCTTTTGATGAGAAACAGTCTCAGCAAGTATTCAGAGAAATCATAGCAACGGTGAACAATTTGAATWCAAATTAAGTTAGAGGGGAAAAAGAATGTCAAAAGATCTCTAGCTGAACAATTTTGTATGAGAAAATAGGATTTGACTCACAGGGGTATGTTGGGATTATGTTATTGGACAAAGGGCAAAAAGAGGGAAAAAAATTTGGACCATTTCTCGATTTGTGCGTGTCATCCTTGCGCAGGGGCCATGCTAATCTTCTCTGTATCGTTCCAATTTTATCAGATGTCCCCGAAGGGACAAACATATGGTTTCACTATGGTGCAYATAAAGGCTATCTCGTTGGTGTTCCTAAGCGATGTGGGATTTCTCTTCAAAACCCCACATGGGAATAGATTATTTAATATAAAGGCAGCCAGAACCTCACATGAAATTTGGGAATAAATAAAGTTAGAAAACTGCTCAAAATTAAACCCCAAACAAACGCATCAACAAATTCCAATAAATTCCCCCAATCACAAACAAACCAAACTAGGTTTCAGAAATTTCGGTAGAATCTAACATGAAATCGATTTGAACCGATGAACTCGGAGCTCGAATCGCGTTTCCCAATCATAACTGAGAACGGATTTAAGAACTAGCTACCTTTAAATGATTCAACAAATGAAGTTCAAAGTCTACCAAATTGCAAAAGGAAACAAAACAAACCCAGAAAGATTCAAGAAAACACAAAGCAGGGAAATCTGATTGCACAGAAACTTGAAAAAATAAAGTCAGAAAACCAAATGCGAAAGAGAAATTTGAAACAACTCACTAACCTTTGGCTCCTGCCTTGTCTAACGAAATCCCATTTGCGAGAGACAGACTTGAGAAAGAGAGAGTAAAATGCAGAGACTGAGTGGGGGAAGGGTATAAGAAATTGCTTTGATTAATTTTGATCTTTTTTTGGTTTTAACGTATTTTCAAAAGGTTGATTTTTAGTGTCTAAATTTTAAAAAACAGATCAATTTGATTTCTATTTATTTACAAACGATATCTAATATGACTACATTTTAAAAAATTTAGTGGATGGGGATTCGAATTTTATCTTGTCTAAAATCTTCGTCTGTGGATCATTTATTGAACATGGTCTAGAACCATGACATTCAGCCCTTCCAATTAAAAATTAAATGACCCATTAAAAAAATTAAGRTATARAGACAAAAAAGAAGCAAAATACAACAAAGCCACATTAATTCTCCCAAGAGATGAAATACAAAAATAATGTAACTCACCTTTTTTTTTTAAAGTAAGAAATGATATATATATATATATAGTATTTTTTTCTTTTTTATTTAAAGAGCGTTTTTCATTAAAATGATTATGTACACATATGGACAGAATACATTGAAATAAGAAGGATGCTACAGGTATCGTTTGAGGGTAGAAATTGGAATTTGGAGTGGTTTTGTTTGACATGAAATAAATGGGGCAGAAGAAATAATTACGAGTGGATGTTGACTTGAACTTAATTTAATAGTAATTGACACATCTTTTTAATCAAGAAGTTAKGAACTCGAATCCGCACCTCATTTATTGTTCTTAGAAATGATGAAATTTGGAAAGCTAACAGATCAATTGAATCTTAATTTAAAAATGATCCATTTGCTTTGCTTGTTCGATCATATAATGGCTTTTGTCTCTTCCCTTTCATATTCCCCATCACTTCATCTTCACAATATTTTGGTATCCAATGCAACTTATTAGCTAGAAATCAATTAAATGAGTAAATTTAGACTTAAATATATGGATTGAGTATCTTCATAGGGTGTCAAAATGAATAGTTTAGTTGTAATTGACCTCTATCTAAGAAATTATGAGTTCAATCCTCCAATCTCATGTTGTACTAAAAAACAATATCTCTGATGTTTTTTTTTTCAACTAATTCTTTGATTAACTAAGAAATTGAAACCAACCACAAAATTGATCGAAAATTACACAATTAATCACCAAACTGATTAAAATTGAATTGCATTGATCAAAATCGATAAAATAAATTTAGACATATCATCGACACCAAAGATCACTAACTTTTTGAGTTTTGGTTTGTACCTTAATCAATGTTTTAAATATCGATGTCGATGGAAATGTCGAGTTATCAATTTCATGAAAATATCAAATAAAATATAGATGTCAATGGATATTTCTATAAAAGTTAGAAAAATTAAAAAACTCGTAAAAAATATTTAAATTAACAAATAAATATTTTACTATTTCTAAACAAGTTACTATTTAAATAAAAAAAAAATCGAACTAAACTTTAATTCGCACCTGTTCCTTCCACGGGAGGTTTAGATCCCCACATCTCCCATTTGTTGTAAATAAAATAAAAATTGAAAGAGAAAAAAAAAAGAAYTTTTTACCAAGTACAAGGAGTTTAAGAAAAGTGCGAAAAAAGAACATAAGATATAACAATTTCAAACCTCTATTCACGTTCTTATGAAATTTTACATATCTCTCCTTTTGTGGCCGTTTCTTCTCCATTCTTCTCTCTAAAAAGAAAGCCCCAACTTTCTGCAACCAAATCCCATCAAATTTATTGGTTTATTTTCATCTTGAAATGCAACACTTATCTCAAGATTTCACTCTGAATTTTTCTCAGTTTAAGAGAAAAGAAGAATGATTGAAAGAAACCCAATTAGCCTGCATCACTCATCTGCCATCTCCATTTTAGTTTCCCCAAGAACAACCAGAGATCACAAAAGAAAAGCGAAACCCACTTGAAAATGAAGCTTCCAAACACAGATTTGGAAGAAAATTACAATACCCAGAAAGCTAAAATGGAGGAAAGTGGATAGAAATAATCTGGGCCACTGCTGCGGATTCTACACAATTCTGTTTTGAA